AAAACATCGGTCGCAGCGTCACGCAACATTGCGTGATTTTCCAAACGTGAGATGTAGTTGCTGCATTATTTTAAAACTTAGGAAGCCCTGTAGTAAGAAAAGAGGGCTTCATTTGCAAGCACTGTAGACTTCAACTTAAGAAGAACCTAATAAATCGCTCTTTCAGTTTTAATCTCAGTGTATGAATTATTTAGCCAGAACGAAAAAAAAATTAATATACGCATGAGTTGGAGCCATTCCTGTCTGCGGTGAAATACACGAATGGCTCCAGTCTCTGGTCGTCCGCCTTAACTGACTAAATGAGTTTATATATATATTTTATAAAATAATTCAAATAGTACGCGCGCTCTGATTGGCCATTAAACCATTTTATATGAGCGTATGTAAACACGGTTTTCGTTCCTTTTTCATTAGTTATTTTATAAAAGAAATGTAAAATGGAAACCACTACGCTTATCTCGTGTTCTCCCAACCTCCCAAGTGTTTACATCAGGCTATGTAAACACGGAAACCATTTTACATTTCTTCAATATTTCACGATCAGAAAGGTTAATTTTATGTTTGTTTTCATTGTAGTTGTATGGATATTCCTTTTTAATAAGTACATGATCCAAAATCCTGTGTTTTTTGTGTATAATGTTACTATGTTAAGTATTGTTTAAGCAATTGTCTTGTCACAGGCGGCCCATGCTCACGCCTCGAGAAAAAGCCAACGATTAATTCATGAACGCGTCACGCGTTGTGTGACTCAGTGTTAAGTTACGAGAGGAACCGTTGAAAATTTGAACACGTTATAAACAATAGTACAGGAAACGAAATATAGTCGATTTACAACGATAAATATTTCGAAATATGAACATTTTTCTCGTAAAATCAATAAAAATTACTCATACCCTGTGTATCCGTTGTAGTTTCTGGCGATTTCTGCCGTTTTAAGCTTGCTTTACCATCACTGTTATTCACGTAATCTACTTTTATTACGTTGGTAAAATCTGTACAGACATCACACCAACCAACTCGCGCGCAAAGTAAGAAGACTATATTGAAGGCTTACGAAATTATATTACGATCGATTTTCATCAAGAAATGGGCCAGGAATTTTCCACAATAGTGCAAATAATCGTGAAGGCTGATCGCGGAAAAGCGATTGCGTGACGCTCGGTAAGCTGCAAGATAACATGTTATTATATACCAGACGTAAAAACTCTTCAGATTCTCAGTCTGCATTTTGTGCCGACTCTGCATTCTGCAGTCTATATTTCGTATCTGGTCTACTGTCTGCATTTTGTACTAACAGGTATCCGTGGCACCAATACAGTTAATTTTTGGTTACATTTATTCGCACAACACACACAATCTACCACAAAATACCTGTGTGTAAGGTAATTCGACATTTTCGTTCTTTTCCGCGTTAATACTCTTCTTTCCTTTTGTAAGAATGTAGACCACTTACAATATTTCAAGTAATCCACCCAGCCTACAAAAAATAACTCTTGCATGCATAGCATGCCTATGTTTTGAAATAGATGTATGCCCTTGGCTAGACTTGAGCTCACTATTTCAGTATACTAGTTCGACACCCGTAGTATCACTACACTTGATTCCAAGGATCCAGTACCACCCAGGTATCCCAGTTACCCTACTCACAGGGTCTAGTTCGCTTGTAGAGAGCTTCACAAGGTTTTAGCTTTATGAGTCGGAGGTAGGTTACGAAAATTGTGATTTGATTGTGCTCCCAGTCGTCTTTGCTCTGTCAGCTGATGATGCCTATATATGAGCCCGTAATACATGAGGTGTTCTGAAAATAGGCGTACACATAAGTTTGAAGTAAGTAACCGCTAGTCCAAATGCGAGCCTTCAGCTCGTGTATCTTTGATGTTTCCACGACCCTTTGTCGTTTTATAAAATTTTCAAAAACGTTTCGATTCATCGCAGGTTTGAGTACGTTACTCTTAATTCTAGTTAGCTAAGGATATTATCTAAAGGTATGCCGCGGAGTAGAAGTCGTAGCCGCTCTCCCCGTGGCAGAGGTAAGTCTCGAAAACATCAAGTATTTTTTTTTTGTTTCTCAACTGAGAAGAGGAATTATTTGTAATCGTAATTGAAAGAAATAAAGCTCTCTTCAGCGTTATGCTTTCATATCCTACTTTGACAGTTTTTACAGAACGTAGACGTAGTCGATCACGTTCAAAAGAACGAAGAAAAGATGGTAAGTAGCCAAATTGGTTAGTTCTGCTTAAGATCAGCTCTTTGGACACTGGAGCTAAGTTCTTTTCTCAGAAAGTTAGAAATGTGATCGTCATTTTGAAATTAAAAAAGGAAATTGGTCCTCAAATAAGGGTTAAAAAAAATGTAAAACGTGTTCACCCTTAAACCCCTAAGAGTTAGACCAGAATCTAAGTTCTCCTTACAATTATACTGCTGAATCAGTCATTAAGATCACAAGGATAAAGGAAAATGATCACCAATCTAAGAAGTGTGATTGTTAAAAGAATTCTCCTTGTCAGTACCAAAGGAAATGTATAGAGAAGAGTATAGAGAATATGGATGTTGATGTTCGAGTGTAAAGGGTTAAAGTATAAGAATGATTTTGGACACAAGAAATCTTGGTTAATCTTCCTTATGTGAAGTATTTCTAGAAATGGGGAATTGAAATTGTTTTTGATGTTTTCTTTTTAATCAAGAAATTTAAAACAAGAAACAAGGGCCCTTAACACCAGAATTGAAATAAGACATTTGTTCCTTGAATGGCTAAATCTAATGTTAGAGTGAGATTTTAAAATTTCATCTTGTGGATCAACACTATTTAAATTCACCTTGCTTACATATGGCCATTTCATTAGTAGATCGCAGACGAAGCAGATCCAGGTCACCAAAGCGACGAAGACATCGCTCTTTTTCAAGGTGCAGTGACAGATGCATAATTTTAGTTTGTCAGCATGACAGTTTTGTGATTAAGTGGAGACGATTTTGTCTTGAAAAAGCCTTGGATATTTGTGGTTCAGATTTTTATTTCCTGTGTTGCATTAAACTGTTATCATATACCACTATGAAAAATATCTTAATCAAAGATAAACATTAAACACAGTATGTGTTGTTAATTAAATGCAATATTAGGAGTAGGCAGCCAAACCTTCTGTAAGTAAATACCCTTGCTGTCACTCACCACTGGTCATTTTCTATGAGAAGTTGAACTGTACATTGTAGGCTCTTAATTTTAGGTCATAGATTGTTTTCACTTTGGAGTCTAATCAATTTTCAAATGCATGTGTTAACCCTAAATACTTTATATTTATGGTTTCTGAACCAGTAGAACATCACAATGAGAATCCCATATCATTTTGAAAGGCTTATAAAATTATCTTGCTTCTTGGAGGTTAAGACAGTTAGACAATTTCAAGCAATGGAGATAAATCATATGGTTGGATTTGCAAGCAGGCATGATAAAGGGAGTCTTATGTTTTAATTGGCTTACAGAGTGCCCACCTAATTATCAACATTAATCCTGTTACCTACATATAGCTTAATCACATACTTCAAAACTTTTGACCAACTTTTTTTTATCATGTGAAGAAATGTTTTGGGCAGTTTGGGTAACAAAAGAGTCTTAAACACATCTATGTATATCCAAATCAAAGAAAGCTCTAATGTGTTTGATATTATTTTTATAATTAGCAATTATTTGGTGAAATACTTTAAGCAGAGTTGTCAAAAAGATTTGAAGTAGAAGGAGAATGTAAGAAAGTAGGCAGCACTGGGGGCCAGAGGCCTCCCATGCTAGGTGGGGGGTCTGGGAGCTGCCAAGGCCCCCAGCAGGGTACAGGGGAAGTGGCGCCTGAAGCAAAACGAATGTAGGGTTTTTCCACCAGCTGAAATTGCCTCTCCTTGAAGCAATTTTTATATGTTTGCACTATTCTAACTGGCAACAGTTAACATTCCTTTTACCTCTCTAAGAAGATTTAATCATTTTTATTAGTGAGTTCAAAAAAACAATTTAGTAGTCATGTGTCAGTCAGTCAGTCAGTTTAGTAGTCACATGTGACACACAGCACAAATTTGTTTGTGAAAGAAAAAAAATTTGGAGTACCAGTGCTTTCCTGCAAAGTGTACAGTTAGTGTAGAATTGAAAGAGACTACTGGTTTCAAACAGGATTCCATCTTCTTTCGATTTTTCCTATGACTCAAAAATACCGTTGCTATCTTGCCATTGGTACAACTTGAAATCTTTATCGTATTTTGACCATGAGAAATTATTTGACGTGATGTTGCTTATCAAAACAATGGTGAATTTCAGAATTGTATTAAAGTGCAAATGACTCAGAAAGTGCTAGTTTAAGATTATTTCCCATTTAGTTTTTAAGCGAGATACCAAATTAGTATCAAGCATCAGTGAGTTCACAGAAAACTACAGGCAATCATTTTGCATCTAGTTGTGTTGGCGGGTATCGGATTACATCTCGTGAAAATCACTGAGAAGCGTTCTGAAATACAAAACACTACAGTATTTCCGATTCTTGTTTTGTTGCATTTTCTTTTCTTTATCATTACTCCACAATATGAGGCACTTCATTCTTGGTTTCAGTAGATTCAAAACCTTGCTTTTTTCCTTATGTTTTCTTTCTCCTTTTTCTTTTTTTAACTGACAAACTGTAGCCGGCACAAATGAAAAAGTAGCCGGCGCTTTTTGACAACCTTGTTAAGCATGTTAAAAAAATCTTTTATTGACCAAGCTTTAGGAATAAATGTTTATCAATAAGGGCCTCATTCCCTCTCTCTTTTTTTTGCATCTGAATGGATGTAGGCTAATAGTATCATGGTTTTTAGAGACAAGGACACACCATTTTAAATGTTAAGATCCATATTAACCTAAAAAGCTTACTCATAGTGCACATAAAAGTTTTCAGTCATGGTCATCTCTGAGGGGTATTTAATAGGAGTTTTTTAACACAGTGTATTCAAAAGAAAAAATTGTGATTTGGAAATGAGGTAGTCACTTGTAAAAAGTGGTAAAGAAGAGAGGTTTGAATGTATGTTTTCTCCAAATTAAATCTTCTTCCTCTTTTGTTTTAGATCCCCTTCCCCAAGAAGACACAGAAGGTAAATACATTTTAATTTGTAGTTGAATACGATTTTACACTGGCAGAACTACATATAGAATCTCTTTCTATGTAAATCTTTCCCTTTTTGTCTTTAATGGAGGGAAACTGGAGATTCTAAGTAAAACTTATCACAGCACAGATAAAAATGAAGATGGTGCTTAACCTAGAAATGACTAAGTTGAACCCCAACCATGAAAGAGAGAGGCAGACAGTCTTGCAAATGCATCATCTCTTATACTGCCTTCATTATGAGTTTAATATCTTTAAATGCTGTCCTTACATGTACCATGAGGTATTAAGTCATATAGCACCAGGTCCTATGCTGGTTGTTTTTAACCTAGAAGCTACAAAACTATTTGGTAAGTGTAGGACAAAATTATGCCAACTTGCTACCTGAAAGAGTGGAAATGAAAAGACTGGCAAACAAACGATATGAATTCACATTTTTCGATCAAACCTTTGTAACTAGTTGCATTCTTTACATTGCCAATTAAGTTAGGTTATCTTGAACTGAGTGCCTTACACCTTTTTTCATTCTCAGATATTTTTTGCCAGATATAGGACATAAAAGAAGGAATTGTACTTTAAAAAAGTTCCTTTCCTGAATTATTTCTCTCTAAATTTAACCTTATTGTTGCAACTGGCAGTTTACTTTTAAGCCAGCTATTCATATTTAACACTGAAGTATCTCTTGATTCTTCTAGCCACTTGAGTGGCTTACAACAAGTGTTTAAAGCCATGAATATCACCTACGCCATGGTTTTTCAATGTGTGGATAATGCTGTCCATCATATATCCACTTGGTATGTTTTGAAGAACAGACAAAGTATCTGCTGTTATGTAAAGTTTTTTCACAAATTATCCACAAGTTGAGTCAACACAGAATCGGTCATTAGGGAGGGGAGAGGGGGTGTGGGTTTCCCAGTACTCCTCTTTGACCTACAATAATTTTTGGTAAAGTCAATATCATGTTAAAATGTTTATTTCAGGTTTGAGGACATGGGCAAATCAGGTTAATCTAGATGGCTTTAACCTTTTTCAGTGCTAGATACAGTGGTATATTAAAGACCAGTCTTTTTTACAGAATGACAGCAACCCCTTTGTGAATAATTTTAGGTTTGCCAACGGAAATCATGGCTTTATGATGGTTCACATGCTGGACACAGGTTTCAGAGATTCACATTCAAGCTCTGATTGTGTGATTTCTGACTGTGTGATTTACTTTGAATTCTGCCATTCAGGAGTAGAAATGGAAACCAGGAAACTGTCTGGGAAACTTAAAAATTTCTATATGGGTTCCATGTGATGGTCTAATACTCTATCCAGTTTCTGCAATAGGAATAAGGATACTATACTTCTTGCTTCTGAAACCAGGCTGAGCTCTTGATCAGCAGTTATGCAAGCCTAAAACCCACCACTGTTACAAATTTCATGCACTTAGTAATAAAAAAAAGTACTCATCAACTGGCTTGCAATATTAGTTGATTACTAATTCTTTGTTACCCTATTTGCAGATCACAGTCTCCAAGGAGAAGGAGGTCCAGGTGAGGCAAAATATAAGAATATGCCAATAGTCATATGCTAAAGAAAGGGCCTTGAAAAGTTAGGAATGAAGGCAACCCTTGGCCATAGGGAGACAAAACTGAAGATATTTTACACTGATTTTGATTTATGTCAACTTCATATTTGAGTATATTGATTTTATTTTCATTTTATCATGCTGGGGGAACGACTTCAAATCCAGTTTTTTGACTATATGACAACAACTTTTGCCCCTGAGATGAAGATTTCCAGGAAAATTTCTTTAAATATTGGGACTCGTTTATACTTGTTCAGTTTACAAATTGTGGTTTTATGATTCTATTAGATCATCATCACCTAGGCGCTCCAAAAGATCACGTTCAAGGTGAGTGTTTGACAAATCTGTGTTCCTGGTGCTTTAAAAGCCCCTATATTATATTTTTTGTATGATTGTATCAAAGTGATATTTACCTACGTAAAGTGTATTAAATTGGAGATGTGCTGGCTTAATGGTTAACCCTTTACACCCTAACATCAGTGTGCATATTCTCTCTACTGTTCTCTATACATGTCCTAAGGTGCTGGCAAGGAGAACTTGTTTAACAATCAAGAGGTTCTTCAGTTGATTATCATTTCCTTTATTCTCATGACATTGATGTTTGATTCATGATTAAAATTAAAAGGAGAAATTAGATGCTAGTCACTCACAGAGATTAAAGGGTTAACATACTGGACTCAGGGTCCAGAGGTCTGCTTTGGAGACATAGCCGGGTCATTGTATTGTGTTCTTGGGCAAGACACTACTTTCATGGTGTCTCTCCCTCCACCCAGGAGTATAAATGGGTATTGGACAAGCATCCCATTTTGTGGGAGAAGCAATGCTTAGAATTGCTTCATGCTACAGAATCTAGGATGATTAAGCGCTGGCTGAATGAGTTACTTGGCTCAAGTGCAGACTGTACTGTTAAGTATTCATATAAAAATTAGTTTGAAACCCATTAACTCACAGTGAGCGGATTTTAACCTCCTGCTTTAAAATAACAAAAGCCGATTTTCTCCTTATTGTTACCTCCTCATCTAACCTTTGTTTCCCCTGATCTAAGAATGGCTAAAGTAGTGATTCTAAATTGGATAATTATTTCTGTTGTGGTCAGGTCTGCAGAGAAAAGGAAGACAGATAAAAATGATACACCAACAGAGGGCGACAAAAGAGCAGAAGCCACAGTAGGTATGGACATACTCTTAGACCTTTAACCCATGACATCAGAAGGTAAATTCTCTCAACTCGTGTTAATATGTTCCTTTTTTTGGTCAGTGCTGAGAATGTCCCTTTGTTGGTGATTTTTTTAATTCTCTACCAGTCTGTTTTTTACAGATTTTTTTTCAAATTAAGGTAATTTTATCACAGACTGAACACTCCTTGAAATGGAATTGTTACAGAGTTGTCATTAGAACCCAGTAGATTGCAGAAACTGCCAGCTGTCTGACCAATTATTGCACCAGCTATTTTGTAAATTGTGATTAGACAGAAAATGAGTACTTTTGAACTGATTCTAACACTAGTGTCTGGCTTAAAAAAAGTTACTCAAATATTGTCCAGGATGCTAGACATCGCACTTTAGAGAGTTTCAAATTTTACATTTTTTTCAGACCCCCCTAGACAGGCAGTTTGCTTTCCAACATGCCATGCTTGCTACACAAACATAATTCAATTAAGCCACCTACTCAGTACAGATCATGCATCTATAACATTGTTTGATGACAACCCTGTGTTATTCAATAATAGTATCATTTAATGTAACCAGGACATTGCATAATCTGTCCTTCAGTTGGCATTAAACATCAGTGATCCTTTACACTTGTCATTATGATTATTTCCCATTTATGAGTTATGCATCTCTTTCCTTCTCAGATGTTGAAGAGATTCCTAATGAAGATGAAGAGGCCATGATGAAAATGATGGGATTCTCCAATTTTGATTCAACTAAGGTTGTTGTGATCTTCAATACACCAGTTGTTTTAACTTAGTACCTAATAGGGTCAAACCTCGATTATCTTGACTTGTGGGTACTGGGCTTAAAAGTTTGGATCATGGAGAGTGCAGTTAGCTGAAAATATGAATATAAATGGTCGTAGATAATGGGACCAGAGCAAGTCCAGATAATCAAGGTCCAGATAATTGAGGTCCGGATAATCTAGGTTTGACAGTAACTAGAGGCATTTCTTCACAAGAAAGCAAACTAAAAGACTTAAACAATGATTGTGTGTTACCTTCCAGGGTAAACATGTGGCAGGAGCATGTAATTCAAGCTACTCCAGTGTAAAAAAAGCTAACAAATACAGGTAACTGCATACAAGTATAAGTCTAATGTCTTCTTATTTTAATATTTTAACCCTTAACAACTGGCCTGTGTGTTCAACATGTAATTTCTCCTTGCACTATCAGTACATTATCCTGGAAACAGGTAATAAGAATGCTGAAGTTCATCAGAAAGAGGATTTTACTCTTGATATAACATGATTCTGTTGCAAGTAGAAGAAAGAATCATGAGTCACATTGATCAAGCAACAATAAATCCTTTTCACCCTAACATCAGTATCCATATTTTCCATACTTTTGTCTATACATTTCCTTTGGTATTGACATAGAGAATTTTTTTTTACAATAAAGGCTTCTGACGTTAGTGATTATTTCCTATATTCTCATGATCTCAATGAATGATTTGATAAAAGAGGAAAGAAGTATAACTGTAAGGAGAAAATACTATTACTGTAAGGAGAAATTATGTGTTGGTCACCCCAAGGGTTTCAAGAATTAATATTTCCCTTGGTAGAAGAGAGGATCATTGCAAAACAAATATTTGGCTCCCAGGAGAATTGAGCAGATTTTTTCTTTTGCATTTTTCTGAAGGTTGACTGTATCATATTCATTTTGTGTTGCTTCTTCTTCAACAGACAATACATGAACAGAAGAGGAGGGTTCAACAGACCACTAGACTATGTTAATTAGTTAGTTGTTGTTTTTTTGTACATCCAAGTCACTCAGGGCAAGCAAGTGGGTCTGTCATGAGTTCCATCCATATTTCTCTTTTGACCTGATGTTGTAGTTAAGTTCTAACTAACAGAAATCTAGGGCACACTATTCTCAATCCTTTTTGTTTTTGAATATGTTTCATATCACCTTTTCAAAATATTTTAACCCTCAAACTCTCTGGAGGTTCTTCCAAATTTTCAATGTATTATGGAAGAAGAAGATAGTGAAAAAGAAACAAACCTGTCAGCCAAACGGTACTATGTTGTACCTTGACCTAACTTTCTTGATTAATTTAGAAAAGAGAAGTTCTAGGTGTAGTCAATTTTTTTGTAGTTGAAGGGTTAATGTTTTACCCTTTTCATTTGCTGTTTTTCAAAATCTGTTTGTTTTTTGTTGTCTCTGTTTCAAACTGTGGTACTCATGGCCACTTTTTCTTTTAGTAACTATAGTTTTATGCCTCATTAACTTGTTATACAATTTTCAAGGCCAGCATTGTATATAACTGTACGTTATTTTGAAAAACAAAAAATAAAGCATTTCTGAAAACTCTGATTCTTAATCATGTCTCTGGTGTTAGGGTCAATTTTGAATGAGGTAAGTTAGTGAAACATTTGCTGTTGAACTCAGAATACTGTATATTGTGATTACCATGTCATGAGCAATTACACTGGAAATCAAGACATGTCAGAGAAGCACAAAACTGTATTCTAGTTATTGTTGCTGCCTTACAGTTTTGTTATCTTGGGTCTGATCGGCCCCTTTTCCATACAGCATCAATCCAGAAATAGTTCTAGTGTCTAAGGATTTTCTGGTCTCCTTTGCAGCTGTTCTAAACAGCGGATGGTTTGCAAAGGTTAACAGTTATTTCTTCCTGTGGTGTTCCTGCAGTGTCATCACACCTGAAATTTTTCTTTTTGTAATTTTCAAACCGTGATGCATGACATCTCTTAATTTACCTTTAATTATCATTTGAAATTAGTTATTTTTCTCTCCAGAATAAATGAAGGTAGTGATAATATGTCACTCTTTGTAGTCACTCTTTGTGGAGAGAATGGCCACATAAACTGGTAATTAATGTCTTAGGGGTGAAGGGTAAAAGGGTTGGAGTAAAAATCCTTTTTACAATTATGATCAAAAACGGCTCCTAAAAAATTAATGTTGACATGCTCTGATGGAAGCTTTCATTGAAAATAAAGGGCTGGTCATATAATTCACTTTCACCATGACAAACTAAGTTTACTAATGATTTTAATAAAATTACTGAAATACTTGATACAAATTTTTTTTGTAAATAACAAAAAAAATTAATGATCAGGAAAAGAGTGGCTCCATGTGACAGAAAACTTGCTCTGAATTGTGGTTGAAGGCATGTGTCAAGGTCTGTTAATATAAGATTCCAACTTATAGAGTCTTTTCAGGCTAATGTTTACCTAACAAATCTAGTGTCCTTTTTTTATTTTTATTCCTTATTTTTATCATATTTATACAAGGAAATGGAAGAAAATGTTCGGTGGTGAAATGGAAGAAAACTGCGATTTAGTTCCCAGTCTCCTGTCATATTACATTGGTTATCAATCAAATATTCATGAGTTTAGACATAGGAGAAACTTCAAAAATGGCGATGGAAGCGGCTCCAACTTCCCCGCAACTGACAAACTATGCTGCGCAGAATACCGCGACAGTCACTCACACGGTCCCTGCATCGCATACAACTGTAAATCTCATTCAGCCTGATCAGGGAAAAGGTCTCTATATCGTCGATCCTTCCCAGCAACATGCCTTACAAATGTTCGGAAGTCCTGATCAGAGAACGTTTATGGCGAACCCCGTTGAATTTAATCCTACGGCCGGAACAATAACCACAACCGCTGTTTCTAATGGAAATGGACAAATAACCATGGTAAGTACTGTTAAATAGCTTCTCACATTCAACAAGAGTTGTAGGCCAATAGAAATCACGTCGGAAATGGCGAGGGAAATAGTCGACTCGTGTTCGATCCTTCTCCCAAAGATGCGGTACTGTTGTTGTGCGCCATTTTGAGGGCTAGCGGCGTGAATTCTTCGCATGGACCACGAATGAAACCCATCACATCACTAATTTTTGTGAGCTTTAGAGTTTACCTGGTCTCTATAAATTGAACCTGTCGCTGAAAGTCGTGAATTTAAAACCGTCCAATCGAGAAATATCGCCCGAACTGCGCCCCTATTGGTCTAAGCTCTGGCAATGTGCATGAGTGGACTTTTGTTTGTATTGAAATGAGTGAACGCGCATCTGAAAAGGGACTTACATCGATGGATTTTCACATAATGATCAAATGTAAGTGATTTCGTTGTACTAAGGGAAAGAACATTTTCCCAGTAGTCCGCTCTTCACGAAAACTGCCCTCTTATCTTTCGTGAATCGTAGTTTTCGTGCCTTGAATTTAATAAACGGAACAGCTGTTTTTCGAATGTGAGCAATATACATGTGTATTTTTGTTTTTAGGTAATCCCAGTTTATCGCTCTCTTATCGCGTAACGATGATTAAAATATCGAGGATTACTTTAATAAGGTTTTAAATACATTTACAGTTTTCCGTACTGACCATCGATAGAAAGTTGTCTAAAAAGTTTTCGAAAAATTGAACGAACACTGTGACTCTATCTTAATATCAGTTTGTCACAAAGGACCATCGGGAAACTTCTTTGTTATTTTCGCCCTCCTAACTCAGCTTCACTCTTTAGTATTGCTGGTTAAACTTGCCTATAAAATTAAATTTACACTTAAAAATATCATAGAAGCAAGCATTATTCACATCTTTCAACAAACTGAAAAATATAATTTATTTATAGTACATTTAAGCACGGTGGAACTGTGAATATATATATATATATCATACTATATATATATCATACTAGAAGTTTTGGTGTGTAGTATCACTGTGTATTTTTACAAGTTGTGTTGTATTTTGCCAAGCCTGTAGGGTAAGTCAAAATACAAACAGTGAGTAAAAATACTTGGCGATACTACACGCTAAAACTTCTAGTATGATACATAAATACATATATTTTTTAAGGGAAATATGTAGTAGCTGAAAGGGAGAATTGACAGTCAGATTGTGAGAGTGAAAGGGTAAAGAAACTATGGTGCTGCATTGGTGGGATATTACAAGTTTATTTGGTTTGATCAACAGACTTGATGATGTAAATTGGCCACTGTAAAGAGTTTCAAAGCTGACGTATTGTGCATTAAAACTCTGATGAAAAGCTCCAAACATCAGCTTTAGAAACTATTTACTGTGGCCAACTTACATTATCATCTCAGTTGATCAGACCAAACTATCTAACTCTTTTGTAACTTATTGTAGTAATTTTTGCTGAATGTACACTGCAGACCCATGTCTGGTGAAATTTGTTATTGATACCAACTAACTGGTTTATTTTTTAAATGGTTACTGAAATAGTGAATGGCAAAAATTGATCATTTTTTTGGAGTATGTGATAATGTTCTGATGCAACTTTGTGCTGGCCTTGAAATGATTAGTCTGAAGAAATGAAGCAGCTTGAAGAACCCCTGAATGTACAGATTAAGATTTCCTTTGACATGTTTCCAAACTTCTCTTTATTTTGTTTGTAACAGATGAATGGCCAGGCTCTTGGAGCTCAGAGACTTCCAGTTGCCATGGAAACTTTGGATGAACCCCTTTATGTAAATGCAAAGCAGTACCATAGAATAATAAAAAGACGGCAAGCAAGAGCAAAGCTTGAAGCTGAGGGAAAAATACCCAAAACTCGAAAGGTTAGCTTGATCTAAATCTGTTGCTGAACTACTCTAATGCCTTGACTCCCAAAAGTGATTGACATGTAACTCTTCTCTTTAAAAATCTATTCATTATCCAGCTAAGAGGTCATGATTGAGAATAGTTAAACACCAAATTCTTGGAACTAATTTACTAGGAAATGTGTAGCAGCTAAAGGGGAGATTCAACAATCAGATTTTGGGAGTATAAGGATTAAATGCAACTGACATTTGG